GTGTGTGTGTGTGTGTGTGTGTGTGTGTGTGTGTGTGTGTGTGTGTGTAGTGTATGTATGTGTGAGGGACAGGGAGATAGAAAAAATTAGTAAATGAATGTGTGTAAGACATATTAGTATTCAGAGAATGAACTTGTATTTATTTTGTGCCATTTGTTTTCATTACACAGAATAAAAGTCAGGTGGTTTTAATCCTTAAAAGGGTAGTATTTGAAAAATGGCACTAAGAATGAAATCATGACCTATTTTTTTAATAGCTATGAAGATACTAATTATGGGTGAAGATTTCTTTTTAAAACTGTCTTGATTGTAGGCTTCTGTGTCACATACCACTCTTCTTGTAGATGTCTTGAATAATTCCCTTTCCGCACAAAAGACAGGGTGTATTTATCTTTCTCTTTATTCACCCCCACTTTGCTGAACTGAAGTTAATTGCATAGCCTTTCCTCTGACTTTCTTAGTAATGAACTTTCACATAAAGTATATTTACAGCATCTGTAGTTAGCCCTGCCTCCTCCTTTCTGGGAGGGGATAGACAATAATTAGGAATTTGTTAATGCCAGTTGTTTTTCTTGGAATAAATGGCTGGAGAAGGTATTTCCATTTTAGAATTTTGCTGTTCTCCTTAATCATCTGCTTCCCTAGTCATTGAGAATCTGCAAAAACTTTATAAAGGAAAAAAAGTGCTGCATTGGTTTTTCAAATAACAGTTTCTAGGGAAAATACGGCAAACCTCAGTTATGAGTATTGTTCACAATACAAAATGTTTCTTCACAAAACATTACATAGCAGCGGTAGTTTCGTACTTGGTTGTTAGTCTTGTTGCTAACCCAATTGGAGGCATCTCATGGTTTATCTTCTGAAAACTTTCAAACGCAAAAAGCCATTATAGTGTGAAAGTTTATGTCCTACTCAATGGCCACAGGCAAGGAAAACTGCAAGAGGACTTTGATTTTAGATTGTAAATAAGGAGGGAGTCATTCTGTCAAGGCTTTTTTCAGAGAAATAGGTTTGAAAGTCCCATTTCCAAGGATTAGGAATGTAGTTATGCCACTGGGCCGTATCCTCCACACATGATCCTTGTATACCTATGCTAACTGCAAAATAGACTCGTAGGACAAGTACATATTATGGACAATTTTTATAATCAGGTCTGTTATGATGATGTTGTACTAGTTAGATTCTGACTGGGCAGTGTCCTTTGATAATCCTACCCATAACCAAACTGCTACATTTTGAAAGAGGGTAGGATTTGCTCATCTTTTCCTCCCCAAAGTATTGATAATTTGTTTAAAGGGGAGGGTCAGAGGACAAGATTAGATGTATAATAGCTGCTCTAAGTTTGCAGATGCATAGGTTATCCTTAGTTTTTAATACTGATGTTTTATTAATGTGATTAATCAACAGAGCACCAGGATTTTATGGTGAGGAAGATGGGCTTATGCTTAAAATGTTCTTTTTAAATACACAAATCTTTGCAGATGCGTGAGAGCCAGGACCACCCTCGGTTGGTTTAAAGAATGATAAATAATTGACTCCCCTCAAGTGCACTGTTTTACTGAGTTTTAAATTAAATTTCACACTGTTTTGTTACTCAATAAGAATAAATAGGATTTTAAGTTGTCTGCATAATAGAAACACCCGGTGAAGCATGAATGGTATGTTGCTTTTGCATTTCTGGGAGTGTCAAATAGCAGTTGTGGGCAAGAAACCTATGGAACAGCCATCCTCACTCACATGTGTTGGGATTGCTGATTCAGACTTCCTATTTATCCATAAAATTTTGCTTATGTCCAGAGTTCTAAAGCCATTTTATAATACTGCAGTATCCCTTTTCTACAGCCTTACTAAAATAGCTACAAACATATTCCAATGCAGTATCCCTTTTCTACAGCCTTATTAAAATAGCTACAGACATATTCCAGTTCAGTTTCACTTTCATTGTATATCAGAATTTTACTCTACAGACCAAGAAACCAACTTGAGGTAAATTATATAGCTTTCCATAGGCCCTTTTTTCCTCAGGTGCTAAACAAAGGCTCCAAAAAATGGATACTGCTTTAGTAATGTCTTTTATTCTTAAACATTTCTTTTGCTAGATGTAAAGATTTGGTGTTAAAAATGGTTTTAATATGTAAATATGAATGAATGCCTTTAGTTTGCCCCTGTTTGTCTATTATTAAGTCTATTTCATTTTTCCTCTATAGAGGAGGGATTCATAATCTTGAATACATTTCATAAGGAGTTGTTGCATTTTTAGAGTGAAAATAAAACTGTTTTCTGTCTTGGATTAATCCTGCTGCTGCTATGAGAAACTGAAAATCAAGAATGTGATGCACTTTTTACATTACTATATACCATACCTTTATAAGTTGCTTTGAATACCTTTCCTGTAGCTCAGCCACTAACAAAAGTGAATGAATTAAAAAATTTTCTTCAGGAGGGAATCAGTACAAATAAACTATTTATGGTATTGGCCTATGAAGGGCAATAACTTAGGAAAATAAAAATTGTTAGTATTACACTTTTTGGCCTTAAAATGTCTTCTACTACTGAAAATCTTTTAAATCTTAATTTTATTTCTCTTATTCCCTCTCTCTGCCTCAAAAAGAGGATTTGGGAAGAATGGTTTAAAGAAGTATCATTGGTTGGTTGCTGATTTATCTTAGAGAGAAAACAATTGTCTACTATGTAAGCTGGGGGCTTTTTTGTTTGTATACAGAGGAGAAATAATGCCATCGGAGCCAATCAGATTTAGTGTAATCAAATCAATCAAAACAACTATTTTGCTTCTCTAGTATATTTTTACTAGCAAAGATAAACTTTAGTAAGAATGCTACTTGACGAGAGGAAAAGTCATTTCTCAAGCACATACCCAAACTTGAAGGAGACTGAACCCAAAATAATGGAGGAGAAAACACCAAATGGGGTGGAGGGATATGAGAAAGATATGTGGTCCAAAGCTATCTGGTTATATTTTGATGTTGCCAATATTGCCAAGCCAAAATTTTAATTTGCTTATTTAATATGTTTGTTGGCCAGAGATCTATTTTTATATCAATGTGCCTTGCATGTATATTAAAAAAAGTTTGGAAAGGCCATGTAGTAATGCCTGAGATAGTTGATGGTTCTTACCACCTCACTAATTTTTATGCAGTATGAAATGCTCATTCTATCGCCCAACTGGTGCTCTCTGTTTAAAGTTATAGATCTTGTCACAAACTGGAACTATTTTATAAACTGGGGAAGTGATTTGATTTAGTTTTTTTGTTGTTTCTTTTTTTTGTTCTTAATCTGTTAGTGGCTGTTCTGTAGTGGGAAATAGTAAAAGGATTCTTCACTCCCTTTCCCTACCCCCTCAGCACCTTCTTCAAGTAATGTGATGACACCATTTCTTGTGTGCTTTGAAAAAAGTTTCAGCTTGCGGTCTCCTTTAGTGTTATAAAAAAGTGTTATAAAAAGCATTGTTTGCAAAATCTAGGGAGATAATGGAGTCCACTTTAATTTGGAATTCTTTGTGAGCTATGATCCAAGTTACTGGCTCTTTTCCAACTTAAAAATTTTTATTGTTAAAGCACCTTGGCTTAGAAAATTTTAAGTATTTATGTCTGCAACAATTGTCTCAAAATAATGAACTGTGCAATTCTTGTCATTAAAAAAAAAAAAAAATCTGAACTCTCCCTAATGTGACTTGTTAGTTTCTCTGTATTTCCTGCCAGTGTAAATGTGAAAAGCTTTGCTTGCATTACGTTTTAGAAATGCATTTTGCACACTCGAATTTTGCTGAAGCTCCATGAAAAGGTTAGATCTAAGTAGATGAATAAAGCTATGCACATGTTTTGAAAGTTTAATTTGTGTGTCATTCCCAAAAGTGACCTATCCTTATTACTTTGCTGTTCTTAGCTTTACCATCTTTAGAAACATGGCTCAAAGTAATAGTTCTGGTCTAGCTCATCAGTAGAACTAGAAGAGAGGAAAACTGGCACCTATTTTAATAAACTTTAAATGAGAGCTGGACTTGTATCTACTAAAGGGCTTTTCTTGAAACAGGGCAGTTTTATCAGCTTTACAAACTTTTGGATGCTCTTCCTCGTGGAAACTTTGGTTTATTTGATCAAATAGAAATGGGAGGTAACTCAAATAGGAGGGAAGGACCTTTACCACATGGAGTTCTGTGACAATTCTGTCTCTTAAGCCTGGTTTAAAGGTAGGATAACCTTTTTCCCTTTATTGCTTTACCGTATGGTTTTACTGAATGAATGACTTGAGATTAGGATCATTCAGCTGTTTAAAGATAAAGCACAGGTTGTTTGAAAGATTATGTGTATCTTTTAAAAATTGCCCAAGCTGATTAGAATAAAGTTTAGAAATGGGGCGAATTTGGTTAAATTGCTGCAGTCTGCATGTACTAAGTAGCTTTACTTCACATATATGTGTACTTTAAACGATTGTGTAGATGTACTGGCCAGGTTTGTCAAATCATCTTTTAAAAGATTGTTTTGTAATCTCCTTAGAACTTTTATAGAAGAGGCTAAATAAGTTTAAGTAGAAGATAATGGTATTTTCCCCATGCTCCTAGATAGAAAAGAAATATTTCTGACTTGTAAGTTTTTTCCTATGTTTAAAAGAGGGTTACTCTCTGTCATCAAGTGTGCCCTTGATGTGTGTTGTTGACTTTGAAAACAGCAAAACCCTTCTGAAAGTGACAGTCAAAAACTTAATCTTCTAGTCAAGATTGGAAAGGTAGCCCATCATGCCTGGCCTTAAAAAGCAGAAATGCGGGAGTGTAGCATCATCTTAGATGACTGTGGCTACTCCCCAGCATCTGTCAGTTCACTTATGTTCAGTCTTAGAACATGTTGAATGAAGGAGCAAAGTAATTTCTGTCTTGTGTGCATCAGCACTTAGGAGCTGAGTTACCTCTTCTTGATCTTCCGGGAAAGGATACTTAGTGGACTACAATTATGTTGGAGGATCTTTTTCCTTCCCTCTCCCAATTAAGATTTTTTTGTGTGTGTTTGTTTTGCCCAAAGAGATAGGCCTTTTCTAGGTAAAAGAACAGTGGCCAGAAATTTACCCTTTTGCTAATTGCTTAAGTATTTGCCATAGCTATTTCTGATGTCATGGATTCTGAGGAAGTGTCAGTTACATGATGATCTTCCTTTATTGATGTCTTACTCCATGTTCAGTGTTTTAAAAATATAAATTACACTCTACATCCATACCCAGATTTACTTATTTTATCAGAAAAAAAAACCTTGAGAAATTTGTAGAGCAAAATAAGAGACAATAAGTGTACATTGTTGAATAAAAAATTTTAAAGTTTCTGAGGTGTTTGTGTTATCTTTTGTGTTAAGTTTTTTAAAAATCTGAAATCTAAGATTGTGACATTGATAATGATATTTTTTCAAAGGGTCAAATGTACAAATTAAGTCTTAAATGTACCATGGGTCATATGTCATTGCTTTAAGACAAATACAGGTTATCAAAGTGCTTAGAATTGGCATATTTAAAAATGATCTGTGAGAATAGCTATCCTACCTTTTTGCATGCCCACTGAACCTTATGTTCTTCCAATTGAAATAAGCCAAAACAGCTAAGTAATTAAGCAACTAGAATAAGTTGCCAAGATTCTGGATTTATTTGTAACTTTATGTAGAAATCCATGGCAATGCATATTTTTTTTAAAGATTTTAATCATTTGAGACACAGAGATAGCATGAGCGGGGGGAGAGGCAGAGGGAGGGAGAAGCATGCTCCCCACTGAGCCGGAGCCCAATGTGGGGCTCGATCCCAGGACTCTGGGATCACGACCTGAGCCGAAGTCAACCCACCCAGGCGCCCCTGTGGCAATGCATATTTGAGACACTTCCTAAGTTTGTATATGATTGATTTGTCACAAGATGAAAAAAATCAATGCTAACATCAACATATTAGAGTAAGGAATGAGGGGAAGAGATGTAAAAACACTATATAGATTGATACATTTCATATGCTTTTATGTTCTTTGAGTTAGTAATTGTCCTTGGCCTGGTGAGTGACTTGCAAGGATACAAAAGGGAATTTGGGGTTTTATTGAAGTTTGTCTTTAAAAATTCTCAGCCCCTTGGGGCACCTGGGTGGCTCAGTTGTTAAGCTTCTGTGTTCAGCTCAGGTCATGATCCCAGGGTCCAGGGATTGAGCCCCTCATTGGGCTCCCTGCTTGGCAGGCTTGCTTCTCCCTCTCCCACTCCCCCTGCTTGTGTTCCTTCTCTTGCTGTCTCTCTGTCAAAAAATAAATAAAATCTTAAAAAAAAGTTATCAGCCCTATAGATGTGATTTATATAAAGGTATGGTGGGATGCCTGGGTGGCTCAGTTGGTTAATCGTCTGACTCTTGGCTCAGGATTTGATCAAGCCCCACATTGGGCCTGGGTGTGGAGCCTACTTAAAGAGGCACCTAGAGGCGCGGTTAAGCATCTGTTTCCGCTCAGGTTCTGATCTCAGGGCCCTGATCTCAGAGTTTTGAGATCGAGCCCTGAATTGGGCTTTGCACTCAGATTTAAGTCTGCTTAAGTTTCTCTTTCCTTCTGCCCCTCCCCCACTGCACGCGCACACTCTCAAATAAATCTTTGGGAAAAAAAGTATGGTAGTTAATTCAGTCTACACAGTTGTTTTTTTTTTAATGACATTTATTGTGGATTTCAGCAGCTAACATAAAACTCATTCTAGATTGCTTAGCAAGGTTTCTCTTACTTGGAGCTTTTAATCCACTACTGTTGGATACGGCGAATTGATTGAATCTGGGAAGTCTGGGCGTGAGAACCCCATTCCCTCCAGTGTTTATAGTCTCCTCCGTGATGGTCACATTCCAAGATATATTGATAACCACGGTATCCAGGATACTGGTAGCAGACCCAGCTAGAAAATCCAAAGCACAGTAGATTATTAAAAACAGTCAGGAACGTGGTCAGTACCCTAAAACCTGAGCCTCTTTCCTCAGCACAACTGGTACAGAATGCTTTTAGGCTTAGAAAACAACAGCCATCCTAAATGCCAGGCTCTGAGCATAATATGGCTACAGCTAGTTGAAAATTAATTTTGATTATGAAAAAACTTTTTTTTAAGATTTTATTTATTTGATAGACACACAGCGAGAGAGGGAACACAAGCAGTGGGAGAGGGAGAAGCAGGCTTCCAGCTGAGCAGGGAGCCTGATGCGGGGCTCAATCCCAGAACCCTGGGATCATGACCTGAGCCGAAGGCAGACGCTTAACGACTGAGCCACCCAGGCGCCCCGTGAAAAAACTTTTAAAAGAGGGTGCCTGGGTGGATCAGTTGGTTAAGCGTCTCTTGATTTTAGCTCAGGTCATGATCTCAGGGTCGTGAGATGGAGCAACATGCTCAGTGGGGAATCTGCTTCTCTCCCTCTCCTGCTCCACCCCCTGCTTATGCACATGCACTCTCAAATAAACGAATCTTTTTAAAAAAGGTAAAAGAGTAGTCAACGTAATTCCATAGAGAAATATTTGAGAGGGGAAAAAACTGACCTTAAGTGATAGTTGGTACCAACAACTTGAAATTTGAAAATGAATAACTAGAATGTGCCAGCCAAATCAATATACTAATGTATGAAATCTGATAAGATGTGACCATTGATGTATTAATATTCACAAGGTCTACATTTGCAAGAGTTACTTTGAAATGTGCCCCAACCCTGTTTTTGCACTTACGCCCCACATTGTATCTTCATGGATCCAACTTCGTTGTTGAACCAACCCATGGCTTGCAAGGAGGGGTAGTCATCACAGATCTCCCATTGGCGTCCAATGAAGTTTTCCTTCTCAAAGATGGTAATCTTAGACTCCTTATGATTCTGTAATCCAGAAATATTTAAAAATCATTTGGTACCAGTGTTAATGGCTGTCTTAATTCTTTAATTACCATATTTTTCAAATTCAAGACACTTCTGGTTTACAGAAGGAAGTACATGATCATTGAATGAAAAATATTTCAGGCAATATGGAGGTAAAAACTACTCAAGCCTGTCTGATCCAATGTAATAACCATAACATTTAAAAGGTACAAATAACTGATGTAATACTATGGGACAACAAAAGATCGACAAAGAAAATATAAGAGCAGGAAAAAATACTTGCAGCACACAGCCAATCAAGGAATTAATATTCACTAGTGTGAGAAAAGATCACAGAAATTACTAGAAAAAAGCAAGCCTGTGTGTATGTGTGTGTGTACAGTGTTGGAAATAACCTAAAGTCCACTAGGGGATATGAATACTACACAAGCATTAAGGCAGAGACTAACCCGTATGAAGTACAAAAACGGGCAAAACTATCTCTCACTAGTTATCCTACTGCACTTTTGAAGATCTGGGCTCTTGAGTGTCCACTTCCTGCCACTCCTTTAGCTCAATGAAAATACTTTCTACTAGGGAAAAACCAAATGGCATATTTAGAAACAGAGGGACCAGTGTTTTTCTTTTCTCTTTTTTCACTTTTGTCCTTCCTGCTGCATTTCAGCATAACTGATAAGAAGTAGCAGTAAGTGTCAGGCCATATGCACCCTCTCTTGCCCCATCCCCCCACATGCATGGAAGTGAAAAATTCAGGGACTCACAGCTGAACAGATGGGGCGGAAGGACATGAGGCGCTCAATGTGGTAGGCATTACTCCCGCTCCAGGCGTCCCAGCGAGGGTATTCTCCTCTCTCCAGGATAAACTGTTGCCCGCAGAAGCTGGTGTGCTCATAACCAACCCAGCTGCCAAAGACAAGTGGTGGTGTTTGTTCATGGCGTTCAGAGCCTATGTGGCCTCAGGGAGAAGGCATCTTTTGTTTTAGATGTTAAAAGTCTAGTAAAATATCAAGCCAGTTCCAACAGAGCCATGTCACAAGAGGAGGGGAATGAGCTGGCAGCTACATTAATAGGTTTGTAAATGTAGTATTTGTTTTGGGATTATCCGCTGAAAGGGTCTGCTTCACTGACCTGAGTAATGTGTATGAGCAAAGTCAGTCTAAAATTATATTTCCTTTCTCTCCAAGTTACGTTATTCTCTACTTGGAGCTCCAGGTTCAGGATCACTTAGTGACTGACTATTGCTCTGGCTCCAGCCAAACCTATTGGCTTCTTCCTAAGGAAGCAAACAGGCAGCTGATGGGTTACTAGTCTCTTGTTTCCTTTTAACTTTGTGGGTTCTTGCTCCTGCTGTTACACACCTATTCCTTATTTACTAAAACACCTCAGATCGACTTTTCACAGCCAAGTCTCAGTTTCCAATGACACCTTAAAAAGTATTTTACTCCCTTTAAAGGGTTAGCTCAATTTGATGGCCCACAACCTGTGGAAGCTCCTCCAAGTGCAAAGCCTGTTTTGCTTAGGCCAAAGGAGAGTCCTTTCCTTGTGTTTTCAAGGCCTAAACTATCCTGCCAAAGAGTCAGAAAACAAAACAAGAGTCTAACTCGTCAAAGAAATTAATCATCGACAAGAAACTCCTCAAAGACTAACTGGGACCTAATATGGCTCTTACGTCCTGGGGTTGAGATTCTTTTTACAGAGAAATTAGGGGGTTAGCGGGAAAGAGGTTGCAGCTTGATGGTTTCCTCTATTTTCTGTAGGCAAGACAAACTAAAGGGTCCTGTGGCTGTTCTGAGAGAATCCTAGGTAGCAGCGTGTGGGCTCTAGAGGCCTCAGATCTGATTACTGTCACTGCCCCTCCCCATGGTCTACATTTCTTTAACGCCTCCCCCGCCCAAAGCGAATACTAAGCCACTAGGAACCTCATGTTCCTTCTAGCTTTGAGTTACTAAATTACACATGCAGTGATTTCTTTTGAGATTACTTCCATATGGAGGCCTCTCCCAGAACGGATTAGAATCTGGGGGGACATCTTTCTTCCCTGATCCCCACCTTTATGGCCGCATGTCTACAGAGACCACAAATAAGGGCCCTGAGTTTCTGCTGAGGTGCATACTCACGCGCCACATTCCACCTTGAGGGACCGGACATTATCGAAACTGCGCTCAGAGACATTTGGGCAGGAGCTGGTGAACTCCATCCTCTTGCCCTGGAAATTCTCCTGGTCGTAGATGGTTATCTGAATGGAAGTGAATGGGGAAACCAAGTTAGAATGGGGTACATCAGGAAGAACGGAGGCCCAGGTCAAGAGCTTAACTTTTGTCCGACCCTGTGTTTTTCATCACTAGCTATAGCCTAGGATGTCCGGCAGGGTCTCTTCCAGTATAGACGGGACAGGAAGGGGCTTGGATTAATACCACTGGTTGGTCGTGTTTACATGCTCAGGCTAGGGATGAAGTGTGGGGATGGGTTTATGATAGGAATGGTTTGCCAGGAACAATACCCGGCCCAGTGGACAGACCAAGGACTTGTGGACTCTTATTCCACCATACTTCCTGCAGAAGTGTGGCCCAGAGGCCCGGACTCTGGGACTCCCAGGCCTTCCTGTGGATTATTTCTTATCTTCTCCAGCCACATCCACTATAGAAACGCACAGTATAAATGGAGAATTGTGATAAACCCCTTTCATACCTTAAACCAGAACTTGGCTCTTGAACCTGGCTAGAGGACAAACACCCAAAGCTGTGAACTGTCCTCAGAGTCGACCCAGTGAAGAGGGTGGCGGTGTTGAGGAAAACAGCGAAAAGGTGAGGATCAGCCACTTCAGGCAATGGGTACCATCAACCTCATGTTGGGAGGAAGGAGACCTGGTCTGGGATCTGGTGGCAAACCTGTCTTCATTTCTGGACCCGTTTCTCCACGGCAGCATATTCCACTCTGGGCTGCTCTATATTTTTTCATTCCTTTTGTTATTATTTTATTTTCAAGTAATCTCTACACCCAACGTGGTGCTGCAATCCACAACCCCGAGATCAAGAGGTGCATGACTCCACCTACTAAGCCAGCCAGGTGCCCCTGGGCTGCTCTGTTTTAAGATGATTTTAGGGGCGCCTGGGTGGCTCAGTTGGTAAGCGTCTGCCTTCGGCTCAGATCATGATCACGGGGTCCTGGGATCGAGCCCCGCATTGGGCTCCGTGCTCAGCGGGAAAGCCTGCTTCTCCCTCTCCCACTCCCCCTGCTCGTGCTCTCTCTCTCTCAAATAAATAAATAAAATCTTTTTTTAAAAAAGATGATTTTAGTAGTGTGGAGGAGAGGTGACCTCGAAAACTAGGTACCATCTTCCACCCATCGCGGGCTTCCAGGGTCATCCTTCTGTCCGAATGGGGCATTCTAAAAGATCCTTCCTGAGACAACATCTGGAAGTTGGGTCGACCCTTCCCCTAAAACTGGTATATTATCCGTGGGTCATTGTCCTATGGAAAAGCACAGGCCCCGGGCCTGCACTGTGGCGGCATCTCATGCCCTGCTCAGTATTCCGGGTGATGGGGGTGGGCTTACCTTCCATGGCCCCACGGACCCCGGCATGGGGTTGGTTTGAGCCATCTTGGTGGTTGGAAGGGTTTCTGGAAGACAAGACACCCATCAGTGACATGGCCTCCGGCGTGGAGGATGAGGTGACAGCACAGGAGGAAGCAAAGGGGGCTTCAAGTCCAGTAGACAGACTTTGCTGGGGCCCCGGCGGGGCCTCTCGCGGGCTGAGCCTCCGTTGTTTCCCGCCGACGGAGCTTCTCCGCGCAGTTATCGAGAGCATTCGAAGAGACAACGCAGGTGAGGTGCCGCCTGGGCCGCGCGACCTCTTGATTTATGGGGCCGTCGCCCCTTTGCCTGTCTCCAGGCGCCCCCTGCGGGCGGCAGCACTGCCTCCGTCTCGCCTACCCCAGTGGAAAGTCCTTGGCCTCCATCCAGTCCACCCGCGGCGTGGGGTCCCCTCCCACCCGGCTCCCCACGGCGTCCCGCCGATCGGCGCCCGGCCGCGCGCACCACCCCGCCGCCATTCCCTCCCGGCGACACGCGGCGGCCTTCTCTCCTGGTTCCCAGCACTCGTCAGAGTACCGATCTGTCTGTCCACCCAAGGTGTCCCGGGTGGACCCCTCAGCGGCAGGGCCTGGGTCTCCTGACTGAGGGGTGCGGGCCGTGCTGGGCCCGAGTCCGGGCCGTTCGGGGTGGGGGATGGGTGGCATTGAAAAAGAATGACCGAAAGTGAGCAAGAAAAGTGGGGTGATGATCGCTAACAATGGCTCACTCTACGCCGGGCCCTGTTCGAGATGCTTGATACGCCTTAATACATTTAATCTTGACACCAAGCCTATGAGGGTGGTGGTGTCATCCTCCCTATTTTATAGGTGAGGATGCTGAGGCTCCCAGAGCTCGGGTAGACAGGAAGGATGGTAGCAAGGGTAAAGGAAGGGAGGAGCGGAGGGAGGGAAGGAGGGAAGAAGACAGGCTCAAAACAGCCTGTTGGGAGCCCTTCTTTCCGGCTGGTAACAGGCCCAGGGGCTGATGCATATGTAAACCCTGCGATACATCTTTCCATTCTGCACCTCTCACCTCCCTCTTCCCCCAGACCTTCTCCCTAGGCCCTGGGAGCCTGCTCATTTCCTGGAGCCCCGCGCACCCTCCCAGCCCTTCTGGCGAGGCCAGGGCTCACTGCCATATAAATGACTCTTCTTGGGGCAGCAAGAGAAGGTCTGCCTCCCCCAGAGTTCGCCACTCTTCTCCAGCCAGGCCAGGAGGCTCAGAGAAAAACCGGGCCCCGGTCCTGGGCAGGTGTCTGTAGGGGGAGGAATGGAAGGGCCGGGGCACCCTGCAGGGCTTTACTCACCCAGCTCCTGCTGCACAGTCTGGGTCTCCATCTGGTGCCACTTCCTCTGCCGCCCTGCTCTTTATAGCCCTGCGGCTGAGGGCCTCAGGCCCTGTCAGCACTCTGCTTTCCCTCGGCTTTTGTTCTCCCTGATCCCCAGAGCTTTGGTGGCTCAGCCTGCTGGGCAGGCATCCCTCAGGCTTTTGTTTAAACTGGAGAAACAGAAATCCAAAGGGCGAGGCTGGGGGCTGCAGACCTTGGCGGGCCGTGGTCTTGATCTCAGGAACAGCTGCGAGAGGACGGGTCTCTGTGTGAGTGCTGGTCCCCTACCCTTCTCCGAGCTCCTCGCGCTGCCCCCTGGGACCTTCCTCGGACCCCACGTCACGGCCAACACTTCCCGTCCACGGTAGACATTTTTACTTTGAAAAAATGTGAAAGGGCCGTAAAAATTCTGAACTTTATTTGGACCAAAAAAAAAGAAGTTTCACTGTATTCTCAGGAATCTTTATTATAGTATATTTATATAGAAATCTGATAACACTGACTGGTGACTCACAGACCTGTACCCCTGAAACAAATAATACATTATATGTTAATTGAATTTAAATTAAAAAAAGTAATCTGTAAGGGTTGAATTCAATAATGGTTGACTAGTGCACATGAATCTCTCTGTGGCTATTGTATCAAATATTCATTTTAATTTTGCAGTTTTATTTTAAAATTTGGGGCCAGTGAATCTTTTGGGGTTGTTACTATATGGTTTCAGGACCTTGGAAATCCCACAGTTCCCAAGGTACTCTGCCTCTAGTACCCTAAAGGCTCCGATGATTTCTCCCTGGAGGTTCAGAGGAATGTAGGGGAATCATGGGCTTCCCCAGGAGCCCCGAGGTGTTACTCAATTATCACAGCTACTATGAGAAGCCGGGGTGAGGAGAGCTTTGAGGCAGGCAAACATGGGTTCAGTTCCCAGCTCTCCTGGCTAGGTGATTCTGGGCAAGTCACTCAGCCTCTCTCAACCCTGCAAAAGGAGATCATATCAACCTGACACATTACAGGTTTATTGTTGCTTATTACCCTCCTCTCTTTCTGGTGACAGATAATGTAGAAAATTCCATAGCAGCTTGGAAAGAGGAAGAAACTTTTCCCAGTAAATTTTTCCCAATCCCTCTGCCAGTCGGGTCCAGCCTATGACTCAAGATTTGTTGGAGCGCCCTTTTTGTAGAACCAAAACACAGGGGGCGAGTTCCCATATAGACACAAGTATTTGCGGATGTGAGCAGAACATTCCAAACATCTAGGTCTGATGCTGGTGTGCCACCCGAGATGTTTTTGCTGCTTGATTAATTGGGGATGTCTAGATCGATGGCTGGCAAGGGACAGAGTTGCCTTGGGGATCATGGCAGGCTCTGGCCGGCTGGTGGCCGTGCAAGGGATTAAGGGACCAGCTGTCCGTGGCTAGCGGTTCTTCCTCAACTTTCCTTCTCTTCATGCACAGAATTAGGGTCTTAGGGAAACACCTATCTGGTCATTTGTTCACTCATTCGTTCCCTGGCCCCCTGGACCGGCAATGTGCTCTCAAGGCACCCTGCACTTCTTCAACTATTGCATTGGTGACGCTATAGAAAATACTTTAAAAAATAGAAATATTGGGCTCCAAGGAGGGCAACTGAGGCACTGGGGGCTCAGGTAGAGGATAAAACTTTTCATGGTATATTTGTCTGTAGTGTTTGAGTTTTGAACAACGTGAACACGATTGCTATCAAAATCACTCAAGTTATTTTTGAAAAGAAAAAAGCTGAATTGTTTAATTATCTGCCTCTTCTACTGGACTTCATGCTCTGGGAAGGCAGGGACTTCCTCTGTCTTGTTCATCATTGTATCTTCCGTTCTGGGCATAACTCCTAGCTGGATAAATATGTTTTGAGTGAATGGATGAATAAATGAATGACATCCTCTGATGAGGTTTTGTACTTCGGGGGGCACAGAAGTCACTGTGAGGTAGTCCTTACCCTAGTGACAACTGACCTGCTTGGGTTGTGTTTGTGCTTTGTGTACTCTCAGCGTCTTCATTTGGGAGCTTTACACTCCATTTTTAAAAAAGATTTTATTTATTTATTTGAGAGAGAGAGAGAGTGAGAGAGAGCATGAGTGGAAGGGGAGGGGCAGAGGGAGAAAGAGAGAGAGAAGCAGACTCCCCACTGAGTGCAGAGCCTGACACGGGGCTCGATCCCAGGACCCTGAGATCATGACCTGAGCCGAAGGCAGACGCTTAACTGACTGAGCCACCCAGGTGCCACCCCATTTAAGTGTTAGTACAACAAAGACCGATCAAGCCAATTTTTACTTTTTACAGAAAAGTGGGGCTCTTATGTTGGATCGAAAAGCCCAAACGCACACGCACAAAATTATTGTGCGGGTAGGGGGTGGGGCGGGAGTTGGGATTATTGGGTGAACCATTTACAAATATCCATCCAATACGGCTGGCGTCATGCGCCGCCCTAGCCTGTCTTCCTCCTGCTTTCCTCAATGACCTGAAGCCTGAGGAAGCTGGAGAAGGATTACCAGATCCGCAACTAACCGTTATGCTTTCCGAATATCACCTCCATATGATTTGTAACCAAGTTCTAGAGGTTGGCATTGCCTGGAACTGTTGCTTCCCCTGCCCCTCGATGGTTACAGCCTGGGGGCTTCAGCCACCTCCACCGTCTCTTTCCAGGGAAGTCGGGGCAGAGCCCCTCCAGGAGTGGAAATGAGCGGAACAACCAGCTTGCAATTCCTTCTCCCAAGCAGGATGTCAGTATCTCCTGTTCAGCCTTAACCACGCTGTACGTACAGCATCCTGAGCATTTACTGTGATCTAGACGGGACCTCCTTTGTCCTCACAACAACCCCATGAAGGAGATCATTATAATACCCACTTTACCTACGAGCTTACTGAGGTTCTGAGGGGCCACGTCCTGGCTCAGGGAACCCAGCAGCGACTTGGATGCATGGCTGTCTGACTCCAAACACCACATGCCTTCCTCTGGGCAGCCCTGCATCTCTGGCCTAGAGTAGGATGATACCACCTACCTGAGTCATTGTCATCGGACGGAGGGAGACGAAGTCTTTAGGGCCGCGTTAGGTACTCAGAGCTCAATAAGTGGCAACTAGGTTATCGATCGTCCCAAATTGGATACCGTCTTGTGCCAGATTCTCACGGAGACAAGTGGGAGCAAGCAGCAAAGATCTTAGAAAAATGGAACAGATGAATGTTTTCTTTGAATTTGGAAAAGACCACATTCATTCAGTTTTTCTTTTTCCCCCGATATTTTTGTTTATATGGGTTTTGGTGGTGGTGGTGGTGGTGGTGGTGGTGTGTGTGTTTATTTGATTTTAGCAGTACATTCTGTCAGATTCTCTGAGGGCTCTGCTCTACTGGGGACGTGGATTGTGAACTGTGTTCTCGGCACCCTGGGGCAACTGGCTGTCCAGCGGGATGGGCCATTGATTCGAAGGTGATGCAGACCCTTCAGGGGAACGAGACAGCCCTCCAAATGCCACCTGCTCAGTTTAAACGTCGCGCTCCTCAAGGCTAGGGCGGCAGACGACGCGTGGAAGATGCTCAGTAGAATCTTATGGACGGCTTGGACTGCTGGCCTTGCCTCTGGATGAGGGTGAGGCCCAGCGCAGAAGGGGTGAGGTCATGGGGCCAGGGCAGCCCCTGGACTCAGCACTTTGTGGCAAGAGCATAATGGGGCTGACCAGGCGGCTGAGCAGCACTTCTGTTGTTTGGAATAAGCAGGATGGGTACAAAGCAAAGGGCTCAGTCAGCGTTCAGCCAGCACCTACCTCCCCCACAAGGGGCTGCTTCTGCGGGACCCGTTTTGCCCTAGCCCTAGCGGGAGAGCCAGGGCCTGGCTGGGCCTGAGAAGGCACACGTGCTGGGAGAGAATGTGGGGGCATCCTGAGCCTCCCATTCTTTCTGAGCACTTGCTTTGGGCACCCGTTCCTCTGCGTCCAGGAGCAAAGAATGCCCACCTGCTGGGGATGCTGTTGTCCTGAGGGCCAGCCTCCCTCTCGGGCTCCCTCGGTGTGTAGAATTTCAGTTCGATTCAGTCTCACGAAATCTCATGACCCTGCGGCTTAAGTCCTTCCTCTCAGCTGAAACCCCACAAAACTTAGAAAACAGGTACCAGGACAGGCCTTCTCCTAACGGGGGCCGCCCAGCCCACTCTGTTCCCCACAGCCCAGCAGCCCAACCCGGTCTCACTGAGGGAAGCCAGAGTTAGCAAATCAAAATACAGGACACCCACTTAAATAAGAATTCCGGATAAACAATGAAGATGTTGTCGTATAAATAGGTCCCAAACATTTTTGTATACTAAAAGTTTATTTGCTGTTTATCTGAAATTCCAACTTAACCGGACGTCCTGCCCTTTCTCTGCGAATCCTGGTCTCCCTCCATCTTTATTTTTTTTTAAGATTTTATTTATTTGTTTGACAGAGAGAGAGAGAGAGCATGCAAGCAGGGGGAGTGGAAGGCAGGGGGAGAAGCAGGCTCCCCGCTGAGCAGGGAGCCCGACGCAGGACTCGATCCCAGGACCCCAGGGACCATGACCTGAGCCGAGGGCAGCCACTGAACCGAGCCACCCAGGCGCTCTGAGAATATATTTTTCAGTGTTTTCCCAAATGTTATCTTATATAATCTTCCCAAATAACTATGTGAGATAAGCTTAACTAACTCTTCTTACACTAGGAAAAACAGACTAAGAGAGGTCATGTCCCTTACCCAAGGTCACAACGCTAGGAAGTTGCACAGCCAAATTTCAAACTCATTCCTCTTTGGTGTCAGAATCTATATTCTTGGGGCGCCTGGGTGGCTCAATCATTAAGCATCTGCCTTCGGCTCAGGTCGTGATCCCAGGGTCCTGGGATCGAGCCCCGCATCAGGCTCCATGCTCGGCGGGAAGCCTGCCTCTCCCTCTCCCACTCCCCCTGCTTGTGTTCCTGCTCTTGCTGTCTCTCTGTCAAATAAATAAATAAATGATCTTAAAAAAAAAAGAATGTATAT